GAATCCTGACTGGCCAGGGGAAGTGATGTGGAAGCCTCCCACTCATCCTGGACCCACAAGAAACTGGAAATCTAAGCCAGCTCTGTATCTGGATGTGGGTCCAAATTCACACTTCTAACAGGGTTTGGAAAGCCTAAGTCAAGAAACTACCTTCAAAACTCATTCAGAGTAGTAATGAATGGCAGAACAGCTTGGTAAGGTTAATCTTTCTGTACTAACAACTAGTAATCTGGAAAAATATCTTACAGCAACTATATGAAGGCACTGGAAAGGGACAAAAAGCTTGTGGGAACTGGATAAGAGTCCACTCTTAAAATACATTTCAATTTGTGTGATTTGAGAGCTTGAGGCTTTTTGTCTCCAGACATTCTCCAGTCTGCATGAAGCTCAAGGTGGCCAAAAGCCAGTGCTTGTGAAGTGACTGGGAAGTTAAAGGACAAATAGTTGTCAGGATAATGCTGCAGAAGGGATGAACTACAAGTCTTAATATAAACAGAGCCAAAATTCTTGCCAGACCACTAAACTATGCATGCGTTCTGAAGGCCCCATAGGGCCCACCTAATAAATAGCAGGTGGAAGTTGAGGAAATTGAAAACACAATTCAGCTGTTGCCCACCACAGGCACTATCAGGGTTAAGTGCGTTCTATACCAAAACAAACAAACAAAAAAGTGCCCCCACAAACAAAAAAACCTTTAATCAGAGAAACATCAAGTCTTGAGTACCTTTAAAATACCATCATAATAGCCAGTATACAATCAATGAAAAAAAATCACTAGAGAGGCAAAGACACATAAAAATATGAGTCATACTCTAGAGAAGAGTCCAGCAATAGGAACCAATTCTAAAATGACCTAGATGTTGCAATAGGCAGACAAGGAACTTTAAAGTGGCCACCAAGAGAACCATTCAAATATTTTACAGGAAAATATACTTAAAGTGAATGGACAGGTTGATATCTCAGTAAAAAAAAATAGATATTATAAAAAATAAACAACGGAAGGATGAGATGCGTGTGGTGGCACAGAAAGTTCAGGCAATTGCTCTTGAGAATAAAAAGCATAAAAATGGGACAAAATTATTTAAAACAACTTCTGCCCTGTCAAAGATAATGTCCAGAGAATGAGGAGACAAACCACAGACTCGGAGAAAATATTTGTGAATGACACATCTTGATGAAGGAGTGTTAGAAAGAACTCCTAAAATTCAACACTAAGAAAAAAACAACCTGATTAAAAACTGGACAAAAGACCTTCACAGACACCTCTCCCAAGAAGATACACAGATGGCAAATCAGCATATGAAAAGACTCTCCCTGTTACTGGTTATCACAAAAATGCAAGGTCAAATAAGTTACCACTGTATACCTATTAGAATGGCCAAAATTTGGAACCAATTGAAAATTTTAAAACTAAACAATACATCTGAAATCCACGCTTACCACTTCTATTCACTGCTGTACAGGAAAATCTCGTTAGTGCAATAAAACAAAGAAATGATATGTAAGTCATATATATTAGAAAGAAGAAAAATTGTCTTTATTCGCAGATGACATGATCATGTGCACAGACAATCCTAAAGAATCCAGTGCTGATTTAGTATGAAGCACTGATTTAGTATGATTGTAGGATAGGAGTTCAATATAAAATTTTTATATACAAGGGGGGATTCCAAAAAACCAGAATTTACTCATAAAAAATTGTGTATTTATTCTTACATGTTTAAACTTCAGTCACCTTCAAAGTACTCTCCATCTGATGCAGTACACCTATCAAGATGTTTTTTCTACTGCTCAAAACAGTTTTTGAACTCATTAATTTTGATGCTTTTTAGTGCTTCTGCCATGTTTTGTTTCACATCTTCCTCATCGGTAAAACATTTCCCTTTGAGGACTTTTTTAATCTGGAGAAACATAAAAAAAAAAAAAATCACTCCAGGTGCGATCAGGTGAATAGGGAGGGTGGGCATGGGGGTCATGCCATTTTTTGATCTAAAACTGCTGAACACTCAGCACGGTATGGGCAGGTGTGCTCACAAATCAGCCATCATGAAATGGGCAAACAGGTTGAAACGGTCTTCAAAAAAATTCACTGAAGCCGAACACAGCCTCTCATAACACCGCCAGCTGGTGCACTGATACAGATGGATTCCTAGAGCACTCACCTAGTGGAGGAAGCCCGTACTATAAGGGGCCTGCCCTCCAGAAGGTATTTCTGGTTTTGGGAGGATAGATACATACATACATACATACATACATACATACATACAGAGATACATAGATATAAAGAATATAGATACAGATATATAGATATAAATCTTGGAATTACAAGAAGGAATGAGAAGTCCCAGATGGCCTGATAAACGCTCTTAGGATCTGACAGAGGTATGTAACTTTAATAAAACAGAAATTTAGGTAAGAAAAAGCCCTTCAGCAAAACTTCATATTGTAAGGAAAAGTAGAGATTACAGCTTCCATGAGAAGAAAATGAAGCCTCTTGCTGACAAAATTGCTTTCTGAAGAGCAGAACTAGACAGCTCGTCCTTTGAAGTGGCCATGTCTGGGTCGACTGCCTGCACACTGCCAAGCACAGAAGCTTCTGAACCCCAGCATCTAGGAATGTTACATGAGACGTTAGAGTTGGACTCTTCTGGTCTCAGTTTCACTGAGGGACCAATTCTTTGGCTATCTGGTGGACACCACAGTGAACATGAGACAGACTTCAAACCATACCTTCTCTTCTTTTTAAAAAAAATGTTTTTTAATCCTCAATCAAAGATATGTTAACTGATTTTAGAGAGAGAGGGAGGGAGAGAGGGAAGGAGGGAGGGAGGGAAGGAGAAAGAGACAGAAAGAAGCATCTCTGTGAGGGGGAACATAGACTGGTTGCCTCCTCTACATGCCCTGACCGAGATGGAACCCGCAACCTTTTGGTGTATATAGGATGATACTCCAACCAACTGAGCCACCAGGGTAATACATTCTTTTCTTGAATCCCTCACTAAATCAAGGATACAGAGAGGACTTGGATTTGGAGAAGGAGAAAAATTTATGGGAAAAATTCTTGGGAGAGAGCTGGTTGCCAATTAGTACCCCCTCCCCACTTAAATAAGTGTGAGGTTCTGTATTCTTCATCTCAAACCTAACAAAGGAGCTTCCTTGAGAGCTTGATATGTGTCCTTTGGGGCCTGGGGACACTGTGGACAAGTCTGATTGGGTCTAGAAGAGCCTAAGGAGACACAATGACTAAATGTAATGTGGCATCCTAGATGGCATTCTGTTAACATCAAACAGTCTGCCTCCCTGAAATAGCAGACAGCTTGTTCTCAGCAAAAGCAGCTCTAAAACCTCAGAAAGGAGGCTGAACCCCAGGGCTTTCTCACATTAAACACCACTGTTGTTTTGTTTTTCAAAATGCATCCAGCATTGCATGTATCTTATTTGCTCCTTCCCTAGCTACTTCTTGAAATGAGAGAGTGGTGGGGCAGAGGGTGGGGGACAAGTATACAGGGATGCCAAAGATGCTGACAACATGATCCCACAGCAGTAGGAGCATCTTCTCCCATCTTCAAGTGACCTTCTAAGACAGGCATGTTCCCCCAGTGGATGCTCAAGACCTAGTCTTCCCGGATCCCAACCCCTGCCCCCCGACACCCGACTCTGGCACAGCTCCCATTTCCCTGGAGTCCGCATCTTGCACAGTGCTCAGAGGCCCTGGAGGCATGTCACGACCAGCCTAGAGCACTGAGGGTTTAGCTGAGGTCTGCCTGTGCTATCTGAGGACCCTGAGGCCTGGGCTGGCTGAGACAGCTGTTTTATTTGCCTTGGCAATCTGCCATGGGCAGGCAAGCAGGGCACCAGCAACCTGGGAGTCACTTGGGGCTTGTTTGGAAGCCGCTTCTCACCAGAACTGAGCTCATGAGGCAGCATGAGGTCCTGCCTCTATTAGAACCAAGGCCTCATTGGCCACGGAGCTGCAAGGGGTCTTGGGGACCACCTAGTCAAACATTTCCCAAAGCATATAACTCAAGCACTGGTTTTTAGAGGAGTTACCAGGTTTTACCCAAAAAGTGTCTCATAATCAAGGAAATTTGTAAAACACTGGATTCAAAACATACTACGATTCTTTTCTACATGCCCTGTCAGAACTTAATCTGCAAGAAGGTAACATTTTCCCAATTTTGCTGTGTGACTGTTGGCTGAGCTTCGGTTTTCTCATCTGCAGAGTAGAAATAATAACCACCTTGGAGAATTGCTATAAAGGTGTATAAGATCATGAACTCACAAACATTCGGTACTATATCTGACACAGTAGGTGTTCACAAATCTCAGCTCCCGCCTCCTCCTCGTCTGCCTTTCATTTTTCTTTCAAATTTTCTCTGAGGCTCAGTAAATTACCCCTATATACAACCTATGTGAAATTATTTAAAACCTCTTTCCTGGGCTCTGGATGGCCCCAGGGTAATTATGTGTGCAGTGAAGGCTCCTACCTAGCTCATCTGGTAAGATGGGGAACCCCATACCCAATGGGGTACGTGTCCTGGTAAACACAAGAGTGTGATACCCACTGCATACTGCAAGTGGGAGACCCACTCTCAAGGCTTCAGTGGCAGCTTCACCTCCTCCTGAATCACCAACGGACAGATGGAGCTCCAGTTAAAATACACAGCACAGATTCAGAATCACAAGAGGAGACTTGGCAGCCAGCTCAGTGGAAGAAGCTCTGCACTAAGAGTCCGAGGTCTTCAGCTGGCTCTTCACCATCTCAGCGTCTGTGCTGCCTCAGCTGTAACACGCAGGGGTATGGGCAGGGGCTCCCCACGCTCACTTCATCTCACCCATGGGGATCCCCCTTTTAGGTTACCAACTGTGACCTAATCACACGTCTGAGAATCACAGTCCACGCACCCAAAACGATTTTATTGGGACTGGCACAATTTACAATCAAGTACTCATTACAGCACATTGGAAAGACTCAAGTTTGACAAGTTCATAATCACGAATACAAGTCACTCTTTTGCTCTGAGGCATGTAGGGAACATGGGGAGAGATGCAGACAAGGTACAGGCAGGAGACAGACCTAAGGGGGCCAATAGTGAGTCCTTCCCCAGAAAAGGCTTCTCTGTGACTCAGCCATATTTCTAGATATTCTCAGAGAGAGGGGCAAAGCTAAGTGACATTGTGGCCCTTCCGCCTGTTCTCTTTCTGGTTCATAGAATTTCTGTGGCAGCGTTAAGACTCTCGACACTACAGAGACAACAGACACAGATAAGGGAGCCATTTGGCCAGAAAAATCCATCTGGGGATCCCTACAGGCTCAGAAAGCTCTCTCTGCGCCATGAAAGTCACTTTTTTACCCACTGTTCAGAAGATGATTTTTCAAACTTTATATCCTGAAATTTCCAAATATCCTCATAAGTAGTATAACAAAACCTCATGGTTCATTATAGGGAAGCAAGTGACATGATTAACTTCAGTTTTGGTTAACAGCTACCAGATCTAAACGAACCTTAAACAAACCCCTTCTCCCCAAACCTCAGGTTTCCACTTAGCTCCATATCCATGCTTTGTTCTCTGGATCTATCTGGCGCTAGAAAGAAACCTAAAACCAGTGACAGTGGCCATTGAGAAGGGCTGGGGAATTAAGTTCTATTCTGCCTGACATCTCTCTCTTCTGTGTGACAGTGGGTCACTTAGGACTAGGAGGAAGGTGACAAAAATGCTCAGCTTCTGGGATGTGATTTCTCTGGCAAGTTGAGTCCTTAAGGATTATCAGGATGCCACAGGTTTCTCTAAGTGACGCATGAGCTGCCAGGGTGTGGACAGTGAAGAACCTTATTATTCAGACAACACAGAGAAATGGCCTAACTGGTTGGGGGTGACGTGTCAAAACACAATGATTTCCAGCATGTTGAAAAGCCTACCCCCTCATTCGCTGTGAAAGCAGGGCAATGTTTCCCACTCCTTGCTCTGTGTGATTGCAGGAGAAAAGGAATTACAGCTCTCGGGTGAGTTTTGTTCTCTGGCTCATCAGGATGGCACCATCTGAAAAGAGGGACCTCAGTCAGGCCCCTCACCACTGACAACAAGGTGAAGGTTGTATGTCTGCTCCATGACAGTCTTCTCTTTGGGTTCCTCTCCCACCTCTTCTTCCAGCTCTTCTGGTAGACGCTGTTCCTGGGAGAGACACTCCCGAGTTCTCTGCTCTGCCCATTTCTGGCTTATCTCTGCATGGAAAAGTGTAATTCATAATGAAATGAAAAGCACACATACAAAAGAAAAAATTGCAAATAAACCACAGTTAACAACTTATCACAAGTTGGTAGGAGAAGGGGATGATTTTTATTTTCTTCTTTGTGCTTTTCTGAATCTTCCGAAGTTTTAATAATAACTTTTTTTTTTTTAAGGAACCAAATTGGTCCTTTCTTGTCATATATCAGGCGAGGCCACCACAGAATTGTGATTCACCTTGGTCCAATGACTTCGGAAAGCGAGGCGTATAAACATCCATGTAAGCTCCGGCTCACTAACCTTGTAACGGCCAATGAACCATCTCCAAGCACAGCTCTGTGCATCTGGGTCAGCCACACCCCAAATATGACTCAGGTGCCCTCTATGGATGCTCAGTGGCAGGGAAGGTAGTGAGACAACTGCCTGACAGTCGGAGGCAGTTGACTAACTCAGCCTCCATCAGTGCTGAAGTTATCCTGTTCTCTCGCTCAGGGAACCAGGCTGATATGCCTCATAGCGTTTCTGAGACAGGAATTCATAAACATATATCTAGTTGGTAGGTGCCTTTTAGTTTTTACATCAAATGTGGCTTAGGAAGCTAAGCAGTTTCCTAGAAACTCAAGAGTCTTACAGCTTCTGAAGGAACTTGTTTCCGGCATGATAATCACATATGAGAGGACAGGTTCTTTTCCAGGATCTGCCCTCAGCCCCCTTCCCAGTCTCAACTGGAGACAATGCCCTCCCTCTGCCTCTTCCCACCCTCCTCTAACTCATTGCCACGATGGGTTCCACAGAGGACAGATCTGTCTTCCCTGACTGCAGTTGGGGAGAGGGCAAGAGGCTGTTGGCAGCTGGAGCCCTCCAGCCATTGCCCTTCTCAGTCCAAGCCACCCTGAAGGAAGGGATTGGGGAGGGTGGCTGCTCCTCCTGAGGCTTGGGCAGCCTCTGGCACATGCTCAGTAATGCCTTCAGCTCCACCCTGAAGTTCTCGTTAAGCCAGCAGTAGATGAAGGGGTTATAGCAGGTGCTACTCATGGCAAACCAATGGAAGGTGAAGTAGAGAGCATTGTTGGTATGGATGACCTTGCTGGACAAGAGAAGTACGTAGCAGTTAAGGGGGAACCAACAGAGGGCAAAGAGGACCACCACCAACATCAGCATCTTGATGGTCTTCTTCTTCTTGCGCCGCAGGGCCAGGTACTGCTCCGTGGTCACATCGCCGATAGTGTTGCACAACCATAGCTTCTTGGCTATACGGGCATAGGCCACAGAGATGATGAAGAGGGGTAGGATGTAAAGCAGGATGAAGGTGGCCAAGTCCAGGTACTTCCAGAAGAGGTCAGCTGGCTCAGGGAAGTCTGGCAGGCACAGGGAACGGACAATGTCCTCACTGGGGGCAAGGAGGGGTGAGAGACAGAGACACAGAAATACAGAGACAGAGAGAGAAGGAGGGGGTGTAATTAACGTGGAAAGGCCTCGGCCCAAAAAAACACAAGCCTCCCCTCCGCTGGGCTGCTGGTACATCCATCCATCTGTTACAGCACTTTTGATGCTGCAGCCTAGTTATCTGATTACACTTCTGGCTTTCTCACTGGGCTGGGAGTTCTGTAAACATAAGGAATGGACCTGGATCTCTCTGTGTCCTCTTAACATCATATTATTCCTAGCTCATAATAGAGACCCAATAAATATCTGTTCATGAAATGTATGCAACACTGGTGTTCCTCGTGTTAGAACTAACTGATCCTGAGAGTACAGTGTTCCCAGGAATTCCCCATTGTTATCACCTATTTCCACTGCAGAGGGGAACTAAGGAATGGGGCAAAGTACATGATGGGTCTTGATGATGTGAGTAGCAATACCAGAATAACATACTTATTTTCTATACAATGTACCCCGTTCCTCTTCCAGCTTTGCAGGAATCTCTTCATGTGCAGGAAAACCCAGAGCTGGCATGTTAAGAGTACACAGATTATGACCTGCAGAATGAGGAGGCACAAGCCACCCACATGGGGCAGCAGGCAGCTCCCTAGGTCTCCAGGCTCCCATTTTAGGGAAGTGAAAAATCCCTGGAGCCATTTTAAAGGCACCACTTCAATACATTGACACAGAGGAAGTGAAGTCACAAGATTCATGACTTACAAATCCCAGAGCAGGGATGCAGCGAGCGGGGGAAGGGCAGCCCTCGCTCCCAGTCATCAGCCAGCAGGAGTCAGAGAGCAGGGTAGTAAGCACCTGTCGCCTGGAAGGCGGCTGAGGCAGCAGTCACTCATTTTTTGAAGGCCCACCCCTGAGGGGTCATTTAAAAAGGTGCCCTGGGAAAAGCAAGGCAGGAGCTTGTGGTGGGGTCCTCAGCTCTGGTCCTTATCTAACGGTCCAGGCTCTGTGTGAGCCGGTTGTCAGGCTATAAAACACTGAGGGGGCAACTCAGAATGGCTGTTTTCTCATCACACCATGTGGCTTGTTGCTCTTGCTGTATGTGCTGGTGGTCATTAGTAGTGAAAGAGAGAACTCTCCTTGCTTTTGTTAGCAGAAAAAAAAAAAAATAGCCCTCCCTGTGTGAAGGCAGATGGGGAGTCTGAGGGCTAGCGGGTTTGGGCATGTGATTCATTCCAATATCCTGGAATTTGGGAGAAAGCCTTTTACAGTAGTTGAAATCAGCCTTCAGAGTTTATTCTCTTGACCCTGCTTGTGTCACGGGAGAGTGTGTTTGTTTCAGGTGGGGCAGCACATGGCTACTGTGGGACACACAAGCAGTGCACCCCCTAGGTCCCCTCAGATCCCCTTTACCTGTCTAGAGTGCCAGGCCCGAGCTCCTGCCTGCCCCCCAAGTAATAGCTGGCACCGGTGACCTTCTTAGGTGCCAAGGACTGCCCTAGGGCTGCTGAAGACACTTGACACAGATCCACTGAGAGCCTGAGGTGGTGTTTTCTTAAGGGAGGCCTCGAATATGAAAACCCAGCTCCAATTGCCTCAGGGCTGGCAAACTTTGTCTCGAGAGCTCCCTGTGGCGCAGGCTGCTGCTTCCCCCCAATCGGGCCCTTCCTGAAGCTCTCCCAGTTCCTCGTCCGGCCTCCCCACTCCCTTACCCATTACTCCTGGAAGCACTTCCTTTAAAAATCACAGGCACAATGACTTTCCTTTATCTCAGGGTCTGTTTCCAAGGAACCTTGTCTAAAATAACTATGAACTGACGAAAATCACTCCAAGCTCGCTCATTCGTTCATTCAGTAAATATGGGTTGAGGGCTTGTTATGCAGAGACAGTAAGTTAGGTGCTAGAGACACCAAGATAACAAAATCAGAAATGGGGCCAGCTCTCCCCCAACCTTACAGGGTAGGCGGGGGCGTTTGCCTTTATAAACTAATAGCACACACGAGTGCTTACATTTTAAAAAACTGAATACTTTGAAAGAAATCCTCATTCTGTGAGAGTATATGAGAGAGAAGTCTGAATGGGAGGTAGAACATCCCACCTCAGACATATAGATACATGTTCTGTTTATAGGTTGTGTGAGAGAATTTAAACAACCCCACTTAGACGAGGCCTGGTGATTTCACAGCTCAGTCTGTGAGAGCACGTGCTCTCTGTGACAGAAGCTAATCAATACTGCCTTGGCCTTGTAGACCAACGGGACAGAGAATAAGGAGGAAGCTAAAGAAGGAAAGATGAGAAAAAGCAGAAAAAAATTGCAGAGGAGAGTGAGAGAGGCAGAGAGAACAGCCCCGTGCGTCAGGCACTGGTAACTCTGAGACTGAGACAGGGCTCGCACTTCCCTCTGCCAAAGCCCTCAGAGTCCCCAGGTTGCTCCCTCCTAGTTAATCTCACCTGTACTTGAAAGTAAATAGTTTCTGGCAGAGAGCATGTGGGAGTGAAAAGAAGGTAGCCAAGGTCCAGATGACTGCCACGTAGAGGACACCTTTTGTCATGGAGATCCGGGGCTTTAAGGGATGCATAATGACCTGGAAAACAAGCACACCTCACCACTGGCTGAAGTTTTGAAGCAAATAAGAAATCACAGTAAGGCAGGTACATTCTATGTATAAAGCAGAGAGCCCATTAATTCATTGTGGAGCCCCTGAGCCCCACAGCGCCCCTCCGGGGGTAGGAAGAAGGTGCCCTCCGGACTCAGAGACCGCAGGCAGTCCGAATGCCTCTTGAAGGTCCTAGGTGGCAGGACTGGGGTGCAGTGAGAGCGTGGGGAGGGGCCAAGGACCAAGGACAGAGTCTGCTTCCAGGAGACCCGTGGCCCCACAGCAGGGCTGGCAGAGGACCAGCCCTGGCCAGCCGCGACCTCAGGATCTGATCTCATCTCCCCGGGACTCTAGACCCCTTAGGTTACAAAGGGCTCCAAGGGGTCTGAGGGTGACTGTTGTGGAGAGGAGACTCTCACTGCTGACCATGGGAAGCTGCAATGACATTTATTTGGGGCTTCACAGCACTGTTTATGGAAGCCATTACTAAAATTGCAGAGGACCCCAGTTTTCCCAGCCCTATAAGTAGGCTTCAGGCTGAAAAGCATGTTGGAACTGCTACTGTATGCCAATCGACTGTCTTAAAAGGTTTAAAAAAACATTTAGGAATTTAACAGCATCTTTGTTTTAAGATTAGAATCACTATGTCTTGAAAAAGGCAGTTTGGGACAGGTGAGTCCAGGGTCAAGGGCAGAGGTCATAAAGAGCTGCCACCACCTCAGGACCCCATCTCAAGACACACTGGGTACTCTGGATGTGTCCTCCCAAATTTTTCTCTCAAGTGTTTTCAGGTTTTACAGGAGGAAGTGACCAGGCTTTAGAAGCAGCCCAGCCCCACTCTGGACTTCGCCATCTTTGCCCCTCACACGCCTTTGTTGTTCAGGCTGCTGGAGGGAGTGGAAGTCTGGGTCAGAGGCCCCAGACACTGCTCAACGACTCCACTGGCTTTGGGACAGGGCCCCACATTCGGGTATATGTCACAGCAACATGGTCAGTATGGGCAACACTTCCCCCTGTTCCACAGACCCAACTTCAACCCCAGGTCAACTCTCAGTTAGCTGTGTTAAATGCATAAGCACAGGCCAGACAAAGGTAATCCAGAGTCCTTCTTGTTGAATTAGGGAAGAAGGTTAAGAAAAGGCAGGGAACATTTGTGTGCAAACGTTGGCACAAAAGCATCTGCAATATAAATGTCAAAATGATGGCATTGCAGGGATAAAGAGATCTCAAAGTTTGCCAAGTCCAGTTCCCTATTAGATGCATGAATCTCCTTTAACACATCCCTGTCAGACCTTGCTTCAATATGACATAAAACTCATTACCTCCCCAGGCAGCTTTGTGCACCTTCAAACACTTCTATTAGAAAATTCTCCCTCATGTAAAGTTGCATCTTTGAATCTGCATTTTGAAGCCTCCTGTCTTTCGGTCCTTGTGGCACCTGTTGGAGCTCCTCAGAACAAATTCTCTCTCTGTCTGGTGGCCCTTATGATATCGGCCTGGTAGGCGTCCTTGTGTCTTCTCAGAGCAGGGTGAACTAGTGATCCGAGCATGGGCTTAGAGACCTCAGCCCTCACCCTAGCTTCATCATTCCCCAGGCATGTGATCTTGGAAAAGTTACATATGCACTTTTCTCAGCCTCCACTCCTTGATTCAGCATAGACCCAAGTACTCCACATAGGTCACGAGTTAGCGTAAGAAGCCTGCCACGGAGCCGTCCTCCTCCAGGATGGACACTCGCAGGTCCTCTTCAGTTCCCTTTGCCACACACCTGCCCCTGCATGTCCGGTGGCACAGGCCTGCCCCTCCCCAGTGTCTGCTGCTCCCCACTGGATGCTCTAGCTTGTTTTCCTCCTCAACGGCTTGGGCAATAGAACACCAATCTCAGCCAGGAGCCTTGTCTGTCTCCAGCCTATAATTATTCGCCACCCTCTTTTCATCTGTAATTTTCCAGGTTTGCTTTTCTACCCATAAAGCAAGTTCATTCATTTCTGAGACAAAATGCTAGCAGTGAGGCTAACTTTTTACAGCACCAAACACAAAGCCATTAATAAACCTAATCTAAGCACTCATTCTGGTCAGTAAGACAGATGCATTCATTGGCAAATGGGCTAAAATACAATCTTAAGGGCCCCACACTCCTCTGGACAACAAAGGCAAGGAGGGAAGGACAGGGCATTGGGGGCAGGTGCCCTCACCTGGTGTCGGTTCACGGCAATGGCTGTCAACGTCAGTACTGAGACATGCAGGGAGCAGTACTGGGCGAAGCGGCTGACGTGGCACATGCCCTTCCCGAACACCCACGTGCTGTTCACAAAGCGGACCTGGAAACAAGCCCACAGAGGTCAGGAGACAGACAGGCTTTGACCCTGATAGCCCGCACCTTGACCCCCATGGTCTCTGTGGAACATCCGTCGGAGACCTCCTCCCTCTACCACTCATCACAGCTGAACCGATGGTCACACCTGATTTTCTCTAGCATGACTCACTGTCAGTCATTCAGTTAAACAAACTGATCATGTTGCTGGATCCAGGCGCTGTTAGGGGCCAGGAGAGTGTGGAAAGGACATGGGCTTTGGCTTCAGCCCCAAGGTCATGGCCCTAGTGAAGTCCGCCATCGTCTCTCATCTGGATCATTGCAGCCTCATCCCAGCTTTCCTTGTCCTCTAGTCTTGTCCCCTTGTAACTCAGCCTCCCCGCCTCTACTAAATGCTAGTTGCATGACCTTGGGTGAGGTATGTAATCTCTCTGAACTTCAGTTTCCTCATTTATAAAAAAATTTAACGCTTAAAAATCTCTACCTTGTAGGCTTACATAAGGATTAAGTGTTTTAAAAGTCTGTAAAAGGTGGGACACAATGTTTGCAAGAAAGATCTTATTAGAAATAAATGGTAGCTATTTTTATGGCAATAATAAAATTAATTCTTGGCCCACGTGAGTTCAAAATAATGGGAAAGACACAGCTGAGAAGTCACAGCACAGCATGTGGGCTATGCTCTCAAATGCTGGCTAGGCAAACCTTGCAATACATCACTTGGGAAGGAGAGCCAGAGACCTAAAGAGGGGTGGGCAGGGGCCGGGACAGATGCAGGGTGGTGGGGCAGACAGAGAAGAGAACTCCCCGGGGCGGTGTACGGCTTTAGGAGCAGGTCTAGGCCTCATCCCACGTCATCCAGGGCTATTTGCTCACTCAGTCAGTGCTTGGGCAGCTCCTGTGAGTAATGCCCCAAGCCCGAGAGAGGTCAAGCATTGATTCTGATAAAGGAGCTTCCAGTCTGGGCAAAGGAGGACTCAGGTACCTCAAATAAAAAACAGAAAGTATTTAACACCCTAGAGAAGGCTCAGGCGAAAGGCACTGGGGCCACCAGGCAGGGTAGGAGTGGGCAGAGACAGAGAGAGGAAAAAAAAAAAAGAGCAAGTCAGCCCAACAGGAAGAATACTGTGTAGTAGTTTACAGCACAGTATTTGTCATGTATAACTGTCACCTTGGGCAATGCACATAGGCCCTATGAGTCTCACTTTCCTCATCTATAAAATGGGGCTAACCCTTTTCACATGCTTGTTATGAAAATCAAATAAGAGATAGCACATACAAAGTAGGAACAACAGTACCTAGTCCATAGCACTGCCAACTGTCACTATTATAACATGAGACATTTGAGCATTTGAGATAAGCTTCAAAGGACAGGTAGGGTTTGCACATGTGGAGATAAAAACAAAGTACTACTCGGCACTGGATCTGAAATCTCAGGACCCGTTTGGGGAACAAGGGGTGGGATGGTTTGGGCCAGAGTGTGTGGAAGTGTGTTATGAGGGACTAGTCTGGCCAGAGGATGAAACTGGGCCAGCAGATCATGGACTTTATTATCTTCAGAATCAGCAAGGAGGAGCAACAGGAGGCTTCTGAGCAGCCCAATAACATTACAGAGCTGGAAACCTTAAGCTATGCCTACTCCTCACCTCCCATATTTGATGCATTACTCAAGCCAACAAGTGCCACCTCAAAATGGTTTTCAGTCCCTTCCCTCCTCTTCAGTCCCAAGGCCATGACTCTAGTGGAGTCCCCCATCATGTCTCCCCGGACTAGCACAGCCTCCTGAGAACTTTCCTGGACCCCCAGTCTGTCCTCCTGTAACTCAGCTTTCATGCTGCTGATAGTATTTTTCTTAAACCATATTGTTACATCCCTGCTTAGAATCACCATAGCCCTGAGGACAGACCAGATGCCTTAGGAGTCCCCACGCCCAATCTGAGTCTGGGTACTGCCTTCCTTTCTGGCTCACCTTCCCGCTCCCCTTCCCTGCCAACTCCTCTACTGTGCTCCCTGCCCTCGCTGCTCCAGCTACACTGAGCCACTCAACAGTCCCTCAGCACAACATGAACTGTGATGTCCTCAGTCTGCACTGAACATTCATCTCGACCTGGGAAATTCCTACTCATCCTGGCCTCTGAAATGTCATGTTCTTTGTAAGGTCTCCTCTGACCCTGTGGGACTCGGGCAGGTCAGAACAGATGACTCCCTCCTCTGGGCTCCACCACACTCTGTGTATGTCTCTGCCATGGGTACCGTAAGCATTGTTCTCCTAATGACCAGAGCTAGATTTTATGCCCATATAGTGTATAAAGAGGATGGCAAAAGAGATGAGGGAAGAAGGGTATTGTTGTCACGCCACCTGAAAACAGGACATCTCATCCAGTGGAGGAGGCTGCCTGAAGTTTTAGAAGACTCCCCTCAACCCTTTCACTCTCCCTGGTCGCCAGCACCTTGGAAGCTCTGACAGGAGTTTGGAGTGGGACAAGTTCGTAGGTCAGGTTGAAGGCCATACTGCTTTGGATCAACCTGGAAATGGTGCTGGGTTCTCAGGACCTTGACATCCCCTCTGTCACAGGAGATCCTCCAGGGCAGGGGTTGTCAGCTCTTGGCTGCAGCCTGGCCTGAGGCGCATGGCCTTCCTCCCTGCCCATTCTCATGTCTGTTACAGACCTAGCCATGCATTCTGCTCTGGGCAGCAGCACAAGGCCATGTCCTAGGACCGTCCAGTGCCCAGCCTGGGGGGCCCAGCCCGGGTGGCCCAGCCCAAACCCAGCATTGCAGATTGTCGTCAGGTCAGGAGCCAAGGGCGGAGTCAAGGGGAGGCAGAGATGCACTTTCTTGTGCTTCAAGGCAGCAGGGGGAGTGGGGAGGAGGGAGGCAAGGCTGTGTGGAAGCCCCTTTGTCCTTGGCTAGTACCTGAGGATCCTGAGTGGCCAGGAATCCTTTAGAGGAAGGCTGGAAGGAGAATGGGGAAAGCCCATGGTTTGGAGTAGTGGAAGCTTAACATGGTCCAAGAGTGTCCCCCTGCCCTCACTCCTGAGCGGTAGTTTAGAGGACAGACCTATGGACTTGCGTCGGGAAGTAATTCCCACTCTGGCTCTGCCAATTTGTAGTCAAGTGACCTTGGACAAAGGATTGAATCTCTCTGCACCTTAGTTTCCTTGTCTGCAAAATGTAAGCAGTGTTTTCATAAGTGAGGACAAGAGAAGGTAGTTTTAAAATGTGACAACGACCAAGAGACAACGATATACAGAGAGATGTGAACAGATACTGCTTTGGTAATAACTCAAATTCTACAAACTGTTATTTTACAGATAGAAAAAGCTCGTGCTACAAAAGCATAAGATTTTATCTGTCGTTATCATTGCTCAGCCAAAGCTCTCATAGCCTCAAATCATCCATGGGCACCCCACTCCCAAGTCACAAAAGGACAAAAATGACACTGGTAATGCTCAGCAGCCAAGGCTTCAGGAGGAGGCTCTGGGTCCCCATCTCTTCCCCAACGCAGACTTCACAGCATCACCCTCAAAGCACAGAAGAGAAGTGCAATGTAAGTAAGTGGTCTTGGAAAATCCATGTAAGGTTCCGTTAACAATTAGCAATTGTTTGAAATTTCAGTTGTGGCACAAAGCAGCATCCCAGAAGGAGGTGTATTTAATGGGCTGCACTCTGGTGACAGAGGGGCAGGTAACCTAGCCATCTCTGCTGACATTTTAAGGGGCTTTGATTTACTGCTCAACTGTCAAACAGGTTCATGCACAGTGACATTAAAATTAAATAGGTAGTGGTCATTCATTCCAAACTGACTGCAAACACTAAAATCATTATCCCAATGTCACCAGCTGCAGAAGCTCTGGCTTAGAAGGTGGGAAAGAGGGAGAGGAGAGGGAGACAGAGAAGGGATACACCCGATAAGAACAGTCAGGGAGAAAGGTAAGGAGAGGAACATAGAGACAGGCAAACTGAGGCACAGAAAGAGTCACAGAGAGGAAAAAAGATGAAGATAGAGAGACAGAATAGAGAGACAGACTAGAGAGACACAGATGGAGACTGACAAAAAGACTAAGAAAAACAGGAGTTGAGAAATTAGAGATGGGAGACAAGAGAAAAAAGAGACTGAGAGATTAAGATAGGAAGACAGGCAGAAAAGGGAGAGAGACGCAGAGAAAAGAGGAGAGATATAGGGGCGGAGGGTGGAGGGGTGGGACCGAGCCAGGAGAGAGAACTAACTGAGAGCTAGGGCCCTGAGAGAGAGCGCGCAGCCGGCCCAGACCCGGCCTTACCAAAGTGAAGGGGGTGTTTAGTAGCGTGATCATTAGGTCGGCGACGGCCAGGTTGACGATGAAGAGGCTGGTGGCAGAGTGCATTCGCTGATTCTTGAAGATTACATGACAGACCAGGACGTTGCCAAAGAGCGAGAAGATGATGATGAAGGAGTAAGCCACGATGAGCAGGGCTTTCACCGTGGGGTTCTGGGACTCAGCCCCGTAGCGCCGCCGGCCCACAAAGTTTTGCCAGTCGGAGAAGGTGTAGTTGTTCCAGAAGAAGTGCGAGGCGTTGGGTGGGGCCAGGGTCGCCGCCAGGCTCAGATCGTCCTCCTGGCCCACAGAGAGCTCCGCGGCTCCCACCAAGGAGAGAAGGAGCAGCACCCAGTGAGGGGCCATTTTGCAGGAGCCACCGCGCCCGGGGCCGTGCCGTCCGGGTGTCCCCGCCAGGCTGCGGGAGGGCGCGGGGCTGTCGGGGAGGGACCCTGGGCCTCTCAACACCTCGGGGGCGCCATCTCGCCACTGGCCTCCAGCCTTGGATCTGCACGCTCGAGGCTGGTGCCGCACTTTTATGTCCCTGCGCCTCCACCGATTGGGCAGCGCGGCGTCTCTGGCGACGACGGTGACGCGCTCCTGCTCGGCCAGCTCCGTGGCTGCTCCCCCACCCCCAGCGGGCTCTCACTCGAAGACTAAAACTCCGTCAGGACGCCCCTAAAGCGCACTCGTCTGCTCCAGCTCTGCTTAAGCCTCGTTCTTGTAAAAGGAGCAGGCGGGAGCCGCCCTGGGGGCGAGTTGGGATTGCGTGGGGCGTACTGCGAAGGTCGGGTCTGCCTGCCCCGGGGCACCGTGTTCAGCCGCAAGGATAAACTCCGCTGGTTTGCGTCGGAGCTTCAGTCCTGGCACGGTTCCAATACTGAGTCCTGGTGGTTCTGCGTTCAGTGTTCCTCCAAGACACTTCAGTGACCAGACTTCAGCCTTGCTGAAGGGCTTAAGCTTTGTTTCCTTCCACTTAGATTTAATGTGGGATGCTTTGTTTTTCAAGAAAACTCTGCAAAGCGGTAAACTCTTCTAACAGGATCAGCGAATCCGAAGAAATAGGTAGCCATTTGCCCACTTCTTCACTAGCGGTGAGTTTTCTGCCATAGAAGCTGTTGAAGCTGTAGTCAGCGATATTACCTTTCTTTGCTGTTGTTGTTCCCCACCTACTTGTCCAGGAACTCTTGGTATCTTACTCACATGTTTTCACTCCCAGTGCCAGGTCTCTCTCAGTCACTCCTGCTCCACCACTCACCTACCTGATCCTGGGAGATAGGGGTCAAATCCCAGCTTTGTCACTTCCTAACGTAAAATCCTGGGAACATTATGTAACTTTTCTAGCCTTAGTGAAAAGCTTTCCTTTTCCTATACGAGGGTTTTTCAGAGACCCCTGTATGGATACCCCACCACTTTACATTGCACTCTGGTGCTAGGATGCAATCACTGGTTAACTATTTGTAAACACCCCAGGTAGGCTCTTTCTATTGTCATTTTACCCAAATGAGCAGCGCTGTTGGGCTGGGATTCCATCAAATGACTCAAGCCTAGGTGTCCACTTGGCCAGGGGAAAGCCTGCACCTTTGTCTCACCTAAACCTTGGAGAACATCCCCTCCCACCAAAGTCCTCTTTTCCCACTGGGCCACGAGGGGAAGCCCAGCCATCTCTCACTTTGGAACTTTTGTAGGAAAGTTAGACATCAGCTTATGTAACCCCTCAAACTCCAGAGACACAGGTCAAGCTGCCGTATTACTGAGTAATTAGAAAATAATTTGATTAAGTGTCATCATCGTAAAATACAAAGTATAGTTATCCATGTGTGAGAGAGTCAGGAAAGTCTTTCCAGACGAAGTGACACTTCAGCCCCGTCCTGAGGGACCAGCAAGAGACAGTTAGGTCATGGAGGAGGAGGCAGAGGGAGGAAGATGGAGCACTCCACCAGGAAGGAATCATGACACATGCAAACAACAGAGTGAATATGAGTATGATACACTCACCAACTGCAGGAGGATAAAGAATAGAGCATATTCTGCAAGGAGGTGAATGGCTAGAGAGGCCCAGAGAGGTAGGCAGGGCCCTGAGCAAGAAGGGCTTCACAAGAATTTGAACGATTTCTAGAGGGCAATGGAAATTCACAGAAGGGCTGTCAGTAGGAACTGACAAGATCAGATCTGCATTTTAGAAAGAACACTCCAGCAAGTTAATGGAGGATAGAGGAGCCAGGCTTGAGGCAAGAATTTGGAAGGCTGAGTAATCTAGGCAAGGAGCTGAGACCTAAGTCAAGGTGCTAGGAAAGGAAGGAGCAAGGTGGACAGAGATTGGAGGGAGAAAGCAAGATGATTGTCAAGTTCAGTTTGAGGTCAAACCCAAAGACTATGAAAGATCTTCCTTTACCTCAACCCCTCCTGGAGCTTTTTGCCTACCTTTCTTCATTTTTTTATCAGCAAGTTCAAAGAAGTCCACTGATGTCTCATTTTTCACTTCACATTCACTTCTTAAGCAACTATGTTTGGGGGAAGAGAATGGCAAGCAGAAGTCCTTCACTTCTGCCGATGGCCCTGGCAGGTCCCATAGAATTCTGTGGTTAGAAAAGGGAATTGCGTGACTGATCCCAGGAGCAGGGATAGGGGTGCCAGGCAGATGAAATAACAGATATTTCTCTATAGCCAATAAACCAGGAGATGCTGTAAACCTGGAATACAAGAGCTTGGGTGGATGTGATGCTTCATCAAGATGACTTGGCACCACTGGGGGAAGTCCAGGCTGGAAAGTAATGGTATTTCAGAAAACAGAACCCTGATTGCCTGAATTGTGCCCAGTGTTGGGAAAGAATGTATTGACAGAAGAGGGCTAGTCAGTATTAAGCACAAAGAAAAAAAGTCAAAGGTGAGTAAGCATAATGTGCACCATTTAACTAATGATTTAGCTTTGATTCCTTGCCTAATCATTGTGGATGCCCATCTTGCAGGTGTGAAGGCCAGGGGCCTGAAACTTTCTCTCTGAAAGATGGGGTACCATATTTTAGTTCTTGGCTTTCTGCAGAAGCAAGTCCTGAGACAAAGATTCTAGTGCCAGGATTTATTTGGAGATGAAGGCAAACACCAGTAGGAGATTGGAAAGCGAGACAAGGAACGGAAGGTGGACCAGGTAAACAAGGAAGGGAAGCGTACTGTCACGCCAACTGCCCCTATGGGTCACTGGAGCTTAATCATGCTGGGAAAGCCAGTGTAAAATATACACATCAGCTATCCAAACCAGTGAGCGAGGGAGCTGAGATATCTGCACACCAACTCCTGTCAATCACTGGTTGAAGGCTGCCCCCTGGGGTATGATAAATTCTACACTCTTGGCTTACTAAGGAGGCAGCTTAAATGGGCTCCAGGGAAAAGAGAAGGCGCTCAGGCATATAAATGCTGGTGCTGGCAGTTGGAAGTTGGACTAGATTGCTGAACAGTTAGAAAGCACTGACAATGACCAAGATTAGACACAGAGTCTAGAGTCACTTCTTCTTCCTCTTTCCCAAGCATTCGGCTCCTCTCTGCTCAGCCTAGTCCTCCTGAGTTCCCAGCCCAGCTCACCCTCCCCAACGTATCCTGGAACACCCAGTGCTTAATAAAATAAGAATATCCCCACCACCACCATCAACCCCACACAAAGACTAAGTTACTAAAAGAAATTTCTTCTTCAGAGGCGTCATTGGTCCTGCAACATTACCATTGCTGTTACTAAGGAGATTTGGGGAGGCACAAAGCCGCTCTTACAGAATGAAGCAGCGCCTTCTTTTGTGCCTTCTGAATAAAACCAAGGACACCGTGTGGAGTCAGTATGCACCAAATAGTAATTATGCATATTTGTGTCTTTAATAATAGTCACACATATTGAACATACCAGAGAACAGAGAGTTTAGTGTTTAACTCTTTCAAATGAACGTGAAACAAAAAAAAATAATAATAATAAATCACTTCACAAATATTATAATAAAAGCCAGATGAAGAATTGTAGAAAAATAATATTACACAGTGGCCTTAGAAAGGTGTTTCTGACAGTCCCACCTATTAACATTCCTAGCACCACAAGCAATTGCTACTTTGACACCAATATTGTTTCCTGAAAAGTTAAAAACTCACCACCATTCTCTGGTGTCAATCACGGTGGCAGATAAAGGGCAAGAAGGAGCAATTAGCATCATGCCAGGCAAACAACAGTCACTCAAAGTTTGTATTAATGGCAAAAGTGTGTCATCATACTTGACTTAGAGATGAACCAGTAGGCCTGAAATATAAACCATGGCTGAAGATATTCCCAAATGCAACACAAAGTTTTTATTGCTAGGTTATATTAGGAATTAGTTTCCAAATTTCAGTACACTGGAGTCATAAGGTAAAAAGATATAGTTAGGATAACTTAAAGGAAGTATGCCCAAGCTCCATCTTACAGTTTGTGGCTCCAAAGTTTTTTGTAAGTTGCTTGAACTTACTCTGCACTTTACATAGAAAGTTTTATAAATGGAGGTATGGTTCTTGGGCCAACTCATAACAGCCCGTTTAACACATAATGTAGAAAAGTGGTAGCATTAGTTGTACCTCAGAACTGCTAGTTAAGTGTTGGTGCGCTGGGGTGCTATTCTCCTTAATCTGCTCCTCTTGAATTTAATGTTCCCCTGGATGAGCTCAGCCACTTCCCCTGGTTGAACCATCGCTCACCAATGACTCCAAGATCTATATCTCTACTTACCACTTTTGCTGAAAGCTCCAGAGCAATATTATATATCCAGCTATTGAATGGACTGTTTCACCTGGAATACCCCCATTCACTTAAAATTCAGCAAGCCCCAAACTAACCTCATTATATCTACTCTTCCCTCACTTTCTTATACTCGCTCCTTTTTTTGTTCACTTGTTCATGCACCATTGTTAAAATCTTGGGATCATCCCACAGCCCACCAATTTCATGATGCTATGTATTTGAAGAAGCTATTTCTCTGTCTTGAACCATCCTCTCTCCCAAACCCAGGACCAGAAAAACTCCTCTTCATTCTTTAAGACCCAGCTCAAGTGTTATGAGGGAGGATTTCTCATCCCCTTGACTGCCAAACCCTAGAGCAAACAGAACCAGTGTCCCCAAGTCTACTCGTTTAAAAGTGCTTCCATAACTATGTGGTTGTTCCCTGGAGTTGCACTTCCCTTTCTGTCCTCTATTTGTGACTTCTCTTTAGTCTTGCCTACTGAACTGTCAGCTGTTCCAGGCCAGGAATGCTCTTATACCTACTGTCACCCCCTAGAGCCTCACCGAGTCCTCACACAGGGGAAATGGCAGCAGCATGGCAGAGATAGTGCGTCTGGATTCAGACAACCCAGGATGTAAATCTAATTCCTAACACTCCTTCTTCTATCTAGGGGGATCCTGAGATGCATCAAAATTTTAATCATTTAACATTATATA